TGGGAGTAAGATTCTACCTAGGTAATTTTTCCATCAGTGCTTCTTGTGGGTGATGCTTCAATCAACCTTATCCGGAAGAAAGATATGGTGCGTGATGTGGTTTTCGATCAAGAAATCATCGATGTAAGCAAGCACCCTAAAATGTCTTGTACATTTCGCGTTGGAGCTAATGGAGTTCAATACGTCGAGCCAAAGTGGAATGGTGGCTTATTCAACGCTCATCCTGATTACTACATTCTTAGTGTGCAAAAAATGGCACAAGATGGAGTGATCACAACTAGTCTGGAATTGAAAAAAACAGGTGAAAACACAGTTTGGTGTAATACATTTTAGCATTTACTATACCTTTCATGTCGATGTCTCTATTAGTGTTTGCATAGCTTGCTTCTTATTTTCTTCATTTATATTTTAACTTCTAGTGTACGATCAAAATATCCTGGGTAGCTACTATTGCGTTTTTTCAATAATATCTAAACTTGAAGTGACTGGAGTTCCATTACTATCAGGTATGCCACCGTTACTTACATATTTATATTACCTTCTTTGGCTCGATGCCGTTTTCACTTTTGACTGGTTCATCAACTATTACATATTACCATCTTGTAACTCTGCTGGTATTCGTGCAGGGTATTATGATCTTGACGAATAACTTGTATACTATCTAGCATTTTCGTATTGATATTTTATTTTGTTATTTAGCTTATTGAGTCAACATTTTGATATTTCGTGTACTCTTTTCCATTGGTAGTTTCAACAACCACCTATCATTCTTGTATATTTTTGCTCAAATTTTCTATCTTAATTTGTCATTTAATTTGACACACATTCGTGAAAATTAAAAGCATATACATTTAGTCTGTGCTTTTTTTGACTTCTTTGATATCTATTATCATAGGATACCCTAATATGATTTCACATTTATTAGTTTATAAACATGGCTTCCCACGAGTTTGGCTATTTAGTAAAGCAGCAATTTTCTAGGATATTAGATGTAAGAGTCCTTGTTTGCACATTACATTTTTACTCTTTCGTTGTAGACATCATCGACTTAACGATCTTTGCTTCGACCACTGCTCTTCAGTTGTGTTACTACAATTTCCTCTTTTGCATCTTGATTCATCCGCCTATACCTATTCTACAATTATTCGTCGTTATATACCTAAAGCCTTTAGATACATCTAGGAGTCTATTTTTTATGGTCACTTAAATTGTTTGCATCAGCACAATTTGGTTTACATAATTGCTTATAAAGTCACTATACAAAATTCTTCAATTGAAGCGACAATTATTTATTA